CTGATGGTGGAACATCTTTCTGCATCTGATGGTGGAACATCTTTCTACTGATGGCGGAACATCTTTCTACATCTGATGGAGGAACATCTTTCTACTGATGGTGGAACATCTTTCTACTGATGGCGGAACATCTTTCTACTGATGGTGGAACATCTTCCTACATCTGATGGTGGAACATCTTTCTGCATCTGTTTATGATTACAGTCCCCAGATCAAGAGGTTCTGTCTGGATCTATGGACCTTCCAGATATGTAAGCAGAGTATTCAGGATAACATCCATCAGGAGGAGCACCAGAAACGACTCTAGTTATTCAGCAATAATTAAACGAACAGAAAACATGTTTTGTGCCTCCATGACTTTCTAGAACCAGCATTTCCATCAGCTCCAGTTCTAGGGTTCTTTTCACTGGAGCATAAAGTCCATAAATCTGTGCATGTATGTTTGTGAGGAGGACCGAGTACGGAGCCTTGTGGGACACCGTCCTTAAACTTCACTGCTCTTCCTTCCAAAACCTCAAACTGTTGCTTGTTTCCAGGTCCGAGGGCTGGCGAGCTTCGGCCTGGAGCTGGACTTCATGGTGGAGGAGTACGCCGGCAGCAAGGGACGGTTTCCTCCGGTGAGGCGGCGGAACCACAGGTCTCTGTACGTGGCCACGATCGAGAAGGCCCACAGCCTGGTGAACTCCCTGATCGAGGCCGGCCGGCTGGAGGAGCTGGGGCTGCTGGTGGTGGACGAGGTAGGACCGGGCCGAAGGCAGCTGGATGGAGGGGAAGGCAGCAGCATTAACACAGGCCTTTGTTTTGTCCTGCAGCTGCACATGCTGGGCGACGGCAGCAGAGGGGCGGTGCTGGAGATGACGCTGGCCAAGGTTCAGTTCATGAGCAGTAAGTTTCTGTTCGAGTCCGTAAACCTCCGTAAACCTGCTGAGAAGGAAACAAACCGACTCTGTTCTCTCCCAGAAACCACTCAGATCATCGGGATGAGCGCCACTCTGGGAAACATCAGAGACCTGCAGACGTTTCTGAGGGCTGAGAACTACAGCGACGACTTCAGGCCTGTAGGTGTCAGCCTCCCCGTCTTCAGCCACAGCTGATGGACGCCATCAACTGGACTGAGTTAATAAGAATAAAGGATTTCTTCTAAATGACATGAGACTTGCCCAGAATGACTGCATGTCAAACAGGAAGCCTTGTGACAGACTGGTCACCTGTCCAGGTGAACCTGAGTCGGCTGGGAAAGGCTCCGCCCCCGCCACCCTACTCAGGATTAAACGGTGCACATATCATGGATGGATGTCTAAAATGACAAAAACTCGTCCAAGTTAACTCAAAATGTGTCCAAAAACTACACATACGAGACAATAAATACCACAAAGTGACTCAAGTTTAGTTGTAATCACCAAATAACTGATCAGACGTGGCTAGCAGCTGGATCAACACCTTACTGTGACTCCAGATATGTCCAGGATGACTATACATCCCCTTAAACTTATTCACAATGACTCAGTTTGTCTGAAATCACATAAAAACTATTTAAAATGACTTAAAACCATCTTAAATGACTCAAACGTGCCCTGAGTTACACAGAAACGTCCAAAATGACAAAACAATCTACTGAGTGACTCGTGATTCGTCCAAACTGCCTGAAGCTTTGATCTAAACGACTAAAACACGTCAGACGTGGTTCAGTCCAGAATGACGGAGCCCGTTGGAACCCGTTGGAACCGGTTTTACTGTCAGCTGGTCCTGGACTGTGACACTACCTTGTTGTCTTTCCTGCTCTGATGTTCTTCTGGTGTTCCAGGTTCAGCTGAAGGAGTTCGTCAAAGTGAACGACACCATCTATGAAGTCGACCCAAAGGAGGAAAACTGCTTCAGGTTCTCACGTCTTCTCAACTTTAAGGTGAGAACATTTGCAGGAAGTGGATCAGGAAGTTCTCACCTTCAAAGTCCAACCTGCCTGAACCTCCTCCTGGTGCCGCACTGCTCTGTTCCCAGAGCTCCTGCAGCACCAGCAGCTGGAGGTCCGATCGTGGTTCTGTCTTCACTGAGTAGACTAACGGGTTGTGTTGGTTCTGCAGTACTCCAGCTCCATGCAGAAGGTGGACCCGGATCACATCATCGCCCTGGTGACCGAGGTCATCCCGACCCACTCCTGTCTGGTGTTCTGTCCCACCAAGAAGAACTGTGAGAACGTGGCCCAGATGATCTGCAGATACTTGAAGGAGTGAGTTCTGGTTCTGCTGGTTCTGCTGCTCTGTTCTTTCCAGAGCTCACGGCTGCCGTCTGGTTCTTTCAGGGAGTTCCTGCAGCACCACGAGGCCGACAAGTCCGTCCTGCTGCGGCAGCTGAAGGAGGCCGGCAACGGGTCGGTGTGTCCGGTCCTGAGCCGGACGGTTCCGTACGGAGTGGCCTACCACCACGGCGGGCTGACCTCCGAGGAGAGGAGGCTGGTGGAGGAGTTCTACTCCGGGGGAGCGCTCTGCCTGCTCGCCTGCACCTCCACGCTGGCAGCAGGCGTCAACCTGCCGGCCCGCAGGTGAGACCGGCCCGCTTGGTCAGCGCCGCGGTTCTGTGGGTTCTATGGGTTCTACAGGAATACAAAGACAAATAATTTGCATTTGATTTTAAAGAGACAATATTTAAAAATAAATAAATGAAGAAAAAATGTTTTAAATAAATAAATGATATTCATTATTATTTTTAGAGAGGAACAAGAGAGACAGTTCAGGTCACAGCAGCACAAACCAGACACACATGGACATGAAACAAGAAACACAACATAAGAACCAACGAGACACAAAGCGTGATGTGAACACACTCAGATTAAAACATCAGCTCAGAGGCCACGACGTGAAGGAGTCCAGGACCGACACACTGGGACTGAATGAGTTGTATGATGGTCCTGAACGTCTCCTCCGGCTGATGGAACCTCCGCCTGTCCTCCTGCAGGGTGGTCCTTCGCTCTCCATACGTGGCCTCAGACTTCCTGAAGAGGAGTCAGTACAAGCAGATGGTCGGACGAGCTGGTCGGGCTGGAATCGACTCAGTGGGAGAAAGTATCCTGATCCTGCAGGACAAGGACCGGAGCCTGGTGAGAATAAATA